TCCGCAATGAAGGAAGCATATGAATCCTCACAGAATCCTCGAACGTTCCTAGGATAGATTTTTTTTCTACATGCAGGTTTTTGAACTTGTTATCTAGAGTTGCTTCCAGTGTTTTGGTGTAGAGATTGAAGCCAGGTAATCTGAAGAGAATTCGATGTGAAGCTCTCTTTCTGTGAGTGCTAATCGTTCATCTACTACAGAACATGCTCGAAAATGGAACACTGATGAGAACTGAGGAGAATGTTGCAGTGATGTGCGCTATGTTGCATTCCTTATTGGTAGACCAACAAGACCAACCTCCCAATGCATCGGTTGGTTGCCCTTATCACTTCTGCTTTTGTTGCTTCAAATTCTTCTTGATATTCTACTTCAATTAAGAAACTTTCCAGGAAACTGAAGACTTCGAGGATGAGCAGCATTTAGTAGCTCGATTTGTGCATCTTATTCAGGCTGATACTCCCGACGAGCAGTTTTTGGTTCGTGGATATAGTTGTTAAGAATGTGAAATGATTTCCTCTGTTGCCTGCAAATTGTATTATGTTTAAGTTACTTAATAATGCAAGGAAGATTTTGGGCGCAGGAGGAAAGGCCCGAATCAAGTACACCTTGACTCCAATTATTTTCGAGCTTTATAAGCTCATCCTGCGATTCGTTGATCTCAAAGATGAGGTATGGCATCATTTACTGTTCTAGCTTCGTTTAAAATAGCTGGTGAATTATAGGAGAATTGGGAGGCAAAAATGCGGAAAGATGTTCATGTGTGCGATGGGAACAATTGGTGCGTTGATCACTACTGCGGAAATGTCAGATCTCCCGCTGAAGTTATATTTGGAGGTGTGTTTTGTCCATAGTCGAATCGACAGATTTCACCTTTTCACATCCTGTATGTCACCTTCTAATTGGAGTGTTACCACTGTCACCTATTTCTTTATCTTTGCCATTCACCTAACGAATACCGTTATCCATTCTCTTTGGATACCCTGTGGTGTTACTATGAGGCGGGCGTACGCCTCTGTGGCTCTCGTAGTGGTCGCCACATAGAAAGTATCCCCTATGATGGAGCTTCTCAGAAAGGAGGAAAAAGGACAGCACTTAGGATACTACTTTGCAGCTATGTGGATGGAGGATGGAGGCGGATAAGAAATGTGTAGATGCCGAGTTTTGAGTTTCCCAAGAATTTTTTTTGACAGGCATAAAATCCACCATTTAGGGTGCTATGGTTGCTGATAAAGTGCCATTGCCTGATGCCTCTTCTGTTGTCTACGAGTTTATTTCGAAGGTATGAATCTGTTTTCCTCTTTTGTCTTTCACCTTTATCCTGTGGGTATTTCTTGTTTTCCTTTCATTAAATTGCTGGTCGTAAGTTCCTAGTAGCCTGGTAGCTCTCCAGAAGAACTAAATTCAGGCCATGTCTGTGTTCGAGGATGAGATTGCGGAATCTCGGGAAAGGATTAGTGCAATGTCACTGATTGCGGGTACTATGCTGGAAATAAAGAATTTGCCATCAGACAGCTGGCATACACTTGCTGGTCAGATTCGTTGTCGCCGCGTCGGCTAAAATGTTCAAGAAGGTAGAGATCACTGATGATAGCAGCAGTTTGTGTCTTTTTCGCATATATGTAGAAAGAGAGTTGTTCATAGGCTGACCAAGTGCGAACGCTTTGCACTGTGGTGTCATTATATTGGAAAGGACAAACCGCTGACTCTGACGGCATGATGAGGAATGGCGACAAAGTTGTAGAGGTGATGAAGAAGGCTGCTAAGGTTCGCGGGTTGAAATTTCTAATATTGAACTTGGAGATATCTAATGTGTTTTTTTTTTGTGCTGAAACTGAAACTGGTGAAAGTCTGAGACTGCATGAACTAAAAGGAGCGTCTTTCTTACTTAACTTCGTTTTCTTTACGTCAGGCAAAATCTTGTGTTATTTCTTAAGTTTCACAGTAATCTCCCCTCCCCAAAAAATGCAGTATCTTTGGTGATTGTTGCCAACGTCGCTCTTTAAGTGTGGAGTAATAGCTCAGCTAAGTACACTCCAAAACATTGAAACAGTGATTTTTCATTGCAGATTGCAACGCAGTGCCTTGAACCAATCGTTCAGCAACAGCTTTTCGTTCAAATAATCAACACCCTTTTGTACTACTACGAGGACAACTGTCTTGAGGTGAGGGCCGGCAAGTCTATCAACGCTATTTGTCATTGATTTATAAGTTCTCCTGTAATTTAATTGGCGAACGTGGAATCTTGTACAATTTTTGACATTCATAATATCGTCGTTCAGCTTAACATCTATGAATTGGACGATTTAGTGGCTTTTTTGATAGCGGACTTTTTAAGGTTACTGAGAGTATGCTAGTGGAGTTGATATCTCGCACAAAGGAAAATGCCGTGCAGCTCGACGTAAGCGCCGAAGCTGACGCGCTAGAAAAGCACCTGGCTATGACGTTGCAGCATATCAAAGATCGAAGGAAAAGCGTCCGGGATTAGCAGAGCGGCTTCAGTATAGTTTGCTTTGCTTTTCGTTTGGATTCAACGCAAGCTCATGAAGGTTGCACCTTTAATTTGCTGCACCTTCGGCTTATTGATTTCTCATCACCAAGGCATTTAGTTTATGTGTCGTTTCATTAGTCCTTGCCAGTTTTGTCGCTTGCTTAAGGATTCTTCCTTAAGTTTTTTTTGAACGATCTTGTTTCTTGGTTTTCTGAATACTCTCTGTGTTCTTTTCACTTCGGTCGTTTTCTTTTCTTTTATGTAGGGGGAAGCAAATCTGCTCCTGGCCGATATTCTTCTAAGCGCACGATTCCGCCGTTGCGTTTCATATTTGTATCCTATTTCAGCGCAAAAACAATTTGTGCGACATTCAGTGCACGTAGAAGTGATAGTCCTTTGCTCATTCGGTGATATATTGGTTGGTGTTGATTGTTATCCAGTTGTGATCGAAAGCTATGCTGCAACTACACTCTTTTTTGAAGCACCATTTCACCACTTTGGAAGGGATGTTTGGAAGATGAAGCATATCCACTTTCAAGGTTCTCTTTGTGGGTTCAGCGAAGACGACTGCGTCAAATAGCGAATTTACGGCTCCAGATAGCATTTAATAGATCTTGCTAAAATTGTAGATGTCAGCGACATATCGGAAGCCTATATGGTTGTTGGCGTCTCCTATTCTAGCATAGAAATCAAAGTCGCATTAGGTAGGTGTGTAGTAACAGCATAACTTTTTCGTGAATGGTCCTTGGAAGATGAAATTTGTGACAGCTCCTTGAACTCGGAATACACGATTTCGTATGGTCTCGAGGTTCTGATGAGAGGTTATTTTCTGTCAGTTAGCGTGCCACCTGCCTGTGCAGTGGAATTGCTTGAAGGTGTATGAGTTGACTTTGTTATAAGAGTAGTAAGAAAGTGAGGAGAGATTTGCTCGATACATTAGGCCATTTGAGTGAATGTTCCACATAAGAATCCCGTAAGGCACGAAGCAACAAACACCATGGCTAGCATGCTTTGAAAGGAAAGTAAGCCCTAGAATTCTGGAAAAGCTTCAGTAAGTGTAAAAAGGTTTGAATTGTATCTCCACAAAAGAATGGACACATGAAAATTTCTTGCAGCGCACATACATCACCCATATGTTATTTTATTTATACGAACATTCTTTTCAGTTAACTGCAGAAAAAAATGCTTTCACATAGAGCTTGGTTTGAAATTTCATGACTTCAAGTTTAGTGTAGTTTTTTATGAATGTCGTTTTTGCTTTGAACTGTCACCAACGGCATCAAAGTTTCTTATAAATCTCGGTTCATGAATAACATGTCAAATTCGGATACACTTTTATGTTGAGATGTTTTATTATTATTTATTCGAAATATTATTTACTGTACATATGCAGTTTTTTCGCGATTTCTTCGAACAAGTGTCGTGGTTTTTATACGAGTTGTTTTTCTCGAAATTACAGCGTAATAGTGAATAAATATTTATTATTTGGTCTGTGCTTGCTAATAATTTCGTGAATAATCGAAAATTGTACTTTGTGCCATGTGTGTGGTCGTATAAATGCAATTATTTTTCGTAGGTTTGTCATGAATTCCGCTAAGCTTGTAGAAGGATGAGGTTTTTGTGTTCCTTGGCCTCCTCCTGAACGTTTGGGATTGATTTTCGCTGGCTGTAGGTATTGATGGTACATTGTTCAGGTGTGGTGTGGTGGTGTCTCGGTCACTTCGCTTAGAAAAACGGAGCTACTTCGTCACAAAACGCGACGGAGAGGGACTGAGTGAGTTTTTTGCACTTCTATTTTCATGGCTTCGGAAATCCTTGGGTCACTGTGATTTTTTTTCTTTCAATTTGTTGTTTGCGTTTGGGAGCATGCTTAGGCTGATGTCATTCAAAGACGTCAGTCTTTGCGAATTTGCTAGCATCGTCGCATTGCAGTGCCAGCCAATAGAGCGATTCGCTGGCGGCGTTGCGACCGGGGACACTAACGTCGCCGATTCGCAATGTCTGAAGTCAGCCTTAGTTGTTTTTTTTTTCAAGATTGGTCTTTTTGGATTTTCGATTTTCTCATCACTCTGATAGCTTATCTTCATCTCGTCATTACTAATTGAACAGTTATGAGAAAAAAAAAACAGAAAATGTATTTGTGCGAGTTTTGCTTGAATTGCTTTCTCTATTATCTGGCTAGTCGGTTTATGCCGTTTCCATGACATCTCGTTTTTCCATTGCCAGCCTTTTCTTGGCCTGTAATATGTCCATTTATCTTTCCTCTATTCCGTTTCCTAGCAGCTGTAGAAATGGAGCGATTGTTTTGGATATTTTAATCCGCTCCTACTAGGCGGAACAAGATTCAGCGGATCCAATCAGATGAAGTGCATGAGACGTACTCGGCGTTGAAAAGCTCACTTTGCTCAATTAAATTTGTCTTGATGTAGCGCACCAATGATCAGCTGAAGTTTCTCTTTCGGCGTTCATTTGGCTGAATTTAGGATCTATGTTTCTTCTCTTAACACTATGTAAACAGCTTGGGTTCATGTGATTCATTAACGATATGGACTCGATGTTTGACGTTGATATGCGTTGCACGAAATTACGTGGAAGCCTAATCTGAAACGCATAAAAATCACAGAGCCTAGACTTCACTCTGTGTCTTGAGTTATGTCTTCAGCCTTCAAGTGGTTAATTCAATGGATCAAAAATCACTTATCAGGTGTCTGGGCGTGTGTGCTGCATATTAACTCACTCCATGAATGATGTCATATTGTTTTCGCGTAATTATAACGAGCCTGCTATGGCTACGAAGTCATTTCCATACGAGAAAGAAGGATAATCAAAGGCAAGCCTTGGTTTAGTCATAGAAGGTGCAGCTCTTGGAAACTCCATAGCAAAAGAGTTTTCCTTTCTAAAGCTCCACTTATACCTTCCATTCTCATTTTAAATGCATTGTAAGGAGGAAGATGTGTGGTGTGAATAGCGCAAATAGATGCGCTGTGAAAATGAATGAAGGTGGTTACATTCTTGTTTCTCAGCCTTTCTCACTAAGTTAATAGGCTCCTCCTTAAGGTTCAGATAACACTCGAGTTATGTGTGTCTCGACGCTCATTCTCCACACAGAATGTGGTGGTGGGGGCGGTCTCACAAAAACATGTTATTTTCGAGGGGAAACTGGTTATGTCTGGGTTGGTTCCATCTCCACTACTTTTTTTGTGGAAAAATTTGAGTTACGGCTCTTCAGTGAGGTTTTTTTTTGATGATGTTTGGTTCATTCGTCGATTATCCTTGTTATCGATATTTCCCACTCTCTCTCTCTTATTTAGCATTCTCAGCATGTACTTGTTGGTGTATTCTGATTTTTTTTTATGCCGTGCAAGATTGCTTGGTGGAACTATTGGTTGGATAGTTCTTTTTTTTTTCAAATGGTCTAGCGATACGACTCTCGTTGTCAGCAGAATCCGCCGCATCCACCGTTCGAGCGGATTGGCCCGCTTCCACACAAGGAGTTTAATTATTGCTGAATTGCTATTTTGCTATCAGCGCAGAGTCGATGCCTCCCGATTTCCGTGCTACTGTTTCTCGGTCCGAAAAATTCTGTTAGATCTTTGTAACAAATAAAAACCTTCCTTTGGGGTTGCTCAAGATTCACTCTTCCTCTTACGATTAGACTTGCAGAACTGACCGAACTGGTAGTTAGTATGTCTTAATGTCAAATCAGATTGTAGAAGTAGTCGCCTGTCTGTGAATAGTTTGTATTTCTCGTTATGAAAGTCGCAAATGGAAAAATGGGAAAAAAAGAAAACATCAGATAAATGGATTTATCAGCAGTGGTCAGTTTCTTGGGAGTGTGTAGTGCCTCTTCTCAAAGTCCTTCCATTCGAGAGTGTATTTAAGCTGCAGTGTGAATTGTTATGTTCTAACAGTGCTTTCTAAGAGTGCTTTTCATACAAACAATCAAGTCTGGGACGGTCTCGTGGGTATGCAAGGGCTTCGCTAGTCTGGATAAAATCTCGGGATTGTGACGCGGCAAGCGTAATCCCTGCATCACTATCTTCGAGCAACTTGCCCTCTAGATTAATCTTTTGTTGAACATTTCTTTTTCCTGTGAATTTTTTTAACCGTGGGACTGAGTTTTCTGAGCACTTGGATGGAGCAATTATCATAACAACTTGTTTGTTCATTTGAACAAACAAAATAATTGAAATACTCAAAAATGTGAACTCTTCACCTCATCCTTCCTACACGAGTTTTTTTTTAATGTTCAAAACAATATAGAGGCAGGAGACAAAGAAATCTAGGTTTTTCATTCTATCATATCTATTCCATCATGTAATGATTATATTTGGATTTGTGACTGTTATTTTGAATGCGATATCATTTTATTCGATCTATAAATACTATGTGAATTATTTTTGATTAGTATATCTTTATCAGCTACTAAAGCAGCACTTTTGTCACTGAATTAGCAAAAATAACAAGCGTTTCGTGGGAAAGGCTCGTCGCAGTTTCCAAGGTTTCTCGTAGGCGTGCACTTCCCTACAGTACTATTTGCCTTCGACTGCCCCATTAGAGCTGGTTGCATGGTTACCAGCCGCGTAGACACGTCAATATTGTACATATGTATTCTCTTATATTGCGAGTATCCTGATTTTTAGCTAGTTCCCATCGGCTCATTGTTTATGTTTACAAGTATTGTGATCGATTACTACAAACGATAGGTTTGTTTGCCGTGCTGTGTCTGTCTGTGATGTAGGGCGATCGATGGAATTATAGAGTTATCAAAAGGGTTTTCCGAGACTGCTGTGCAAAAAAACAAGTTTGTGCAGAAAGATATCAGAGGGATTTCGCTGTTAGAAACATTAAGGCTTTCATTAGTTCTACTATAATCAAGCAGCATTTTCACATTCATACCATTTGTAGTCAAAACGCAATTTTGAAGGCAGCTATCACGGTGTCGTCATTGTCGAATCGGTGAAGTCACTGAGGAAAGACTCAAAATAGTTCCATAT